CTGTAAAAATATATTAAATATAACTATAAAGTTGCTGCAACACATCATATTACAGTAGGAAGTGTCCTATCTAGGACGGGTTACTTCAAACACACCAGTGTTTCCCGGAAACATTATGTTTTATCGGCATAGGTCAATCCGAGCTCATAACTTAAAGTCCCCGCGTCCGACAAAAACAATAATCCCCACAATTTTGAGGAAACTGTTTATCGCAGACGCCACCCGCCCATAAATACTGCTTGCCCGAATAAAACAGAAGAAATAGATAAAAAGCTAAACGGTTAGTACACCTCCGTGGACAGCCTTGACAAATGTATTGTTGTCGTTTTTTCCTTGTCGTGAAAATTGATGGTTCGTGCAGAACTAAAGTTGTATTTAGCGGTTATTTACACTCGTGTATTAGGCGAGATTACAAAAATATCGAGGTATTTCTAGATATAATTATGGTTTTTGTAGAAATTATGCTATTTTTGGTCTTTCACAATCTGTGTGCTTACTATCACTGAACTGTCAAAACTTCATTTCCAAATGCAACAATTACTTATATATATTATTTTCATTTAGGTTTTTCGAGACGATAAAATTAATGTGTATTACATCAACTTAACAGATAGTAACTATGAATCCGTTTTATTAATTTATTTTCTTTACGTAAGTTAAAAAGTAATTACAATTAAAATCTGGTGGTATTCTAAAAATAATGTGTTGCTACTAATGTGGCAAAGCGTAGTGAAAATGCCAACACCTAAAACACAATATAATTAAGTAGTTTAAAGAAAGCAAATCTTATATTTTTTACACCTTCTCTTCTTCTTTCATTTAATATTTTTTTTGTCGAATAATCCACGCTGTCTCGGAAATCCTACGTCACGCCCAAAATTGAACATACGTCATCGATAAACGTCATATCTTATCTGCCCTTCATTATTTCATACACATCTATCGGAAAGCCATTCCGAATGCGTCTGATTTTATTCTAGGCAATTTATTTTCAATAAAGAACTATAAAAAGACTTATCTTAATCGTACGGGTGCGTCTGCTAGGGGGAGTGCCGCGTGGATGTCGATTCATATTTACGTTGCATTACAAAATTGTACAAATATTATGAACTGTTTCACAGATTTACCAAAAGTCATTCCAGTTGGTTCTAATGACACTGAACTACACTAATTCTGAAATTTAATTCATATCAATATTGCAACAATACTTTTCCGTTAAATTTGATTCATGTCAAATGATTTCAAACCATTTATGAATTAAATCGTATTAAAAAATTCCTCATAGTTATAAAGGGGAAATGTTTCGTAAATCGTATAGTCGATTATTTCTAATGTAAACAAATCGACAAAAACTTCTATAGAAAAAAAAGTTATATCGTAAAGTTTTATCCTAGTAAATTATCAGTAATATGATCACAGACAATGAAAAGTATGTCCAAATAGAAAATATCTAAATGCTTGCAGCTATCATTTATATGGATAATAAAAATTTTCTCTTATACACAAACATCTAATTATGATTATGAGGCGAGGTAATGTTAATATTTACCCTGTTATCTTCTCACGTTTATCGATGTCTGTCTTACTTAATTGTTGTTTTAAATATGTGCGTGATGGTCAATACAGTTCGTTTGTTTGTTTCTTTATTTCTTTTAATTCTTGACAGCCATAGAAACTAATATGTGGAAATTGTCATAACGAATCTTTAGTAAGATTGTGATTAAAATTTTCAAACCTAATCCAAATAGAGGAACCTATAGTACCATTAATATTTAAATATAAAATTGAGGTATCCACAGACCAAACACAACACCATCGTATTCATAAAAATTACAAAATTTAAATTTGTACGGGCATACCGACTCATTTACATGTTATTCGAGCAACAGACCCTAGGGGACCGTATCAGCCATTTATGAGTTGAAAGTATTAAAGAAAAGAAACTCGATAGATATAAAAAGATAGGTATAATAACAAGAAAAGAAGCCGCGTGCAAGAAAACGGCTCGCGGCGAATAAGGCCCGCAGAGAGCGGCATTGTTACCAGACTTTAAAAACGGAACGAAATGAAACGAGGGGAAGGAAATCGGATGAAAATATGAAAAGAATACACATTATGTACGTAGAAACGGAACGTAGGCCGAATCGCACGGTCCGCAAATATAATTTGCATAGTCAAGTAGCCGAACTTTTGTCTGTGGCGGATGTTCGCAGCCATATTCGTTGGTTGCTTTTTAACCGCACTCTCATTCTGTATCGGTGCGGGCTTTTTATTGCATTTTTTCCCCTTTGAACGGATTCCTTCAATATTTCGGTGGTTCGTTTTTATTCATACGCTCGGCCATCGAATTGTTTCGCTTCATATCACATGCTTTGTTGTTTTGTGTTAATCTCTCGTGTTAGTATTGTTTGCTATTTTTCATCAATTCCAGATGATGACATTTTGTGGTAAATCATTAATAAATGTACAGTAAAATCAAGAATTACACTGTCAAAACCTTAAAAGATTTAAAGAATGGGCAATAGCCCAATTATCGTAACATCATAGGTTTTAAAGTGCTTTGAAATTAAAACTATCGCCGACTGAGCGGAGGCAACAATAGATTTTTTGTCCGGCCACCATCTGCATTGAATCGAATTAAATAATCGATTGGAGGATTATTACAATTCATCATTGGTTATGAACTTGTGAGTGAGGGAGTACAGCCGGATTACCGATCACAAAGCGCCGCCGACGAGGAGCAGACAAATATTGACCAGAAGAAACAATGAACGATGGTTAGTGCCGACGAATGCACGTGGGAAGACTTTGATGGACGTTTCGTTTCAGTTGGTTGCTCTATTGTGAAGTGACTTGCTTAAAAAGAAAGCTTAACTAAAATTAAATTAATAGGTAACGGAGAAAGTGATTTTTTCAATGGTTTTTGCTAAATAGACGTAATCATTAACGTGGTTTAACACGACAAGAAAGGTGAGATGAAAAGGTCCAAAAATAAGCTTCATTGGAGTGAAAAACTGTTTTCCAGAGGTGTTGGACTGAATCGATGCTCGGACTCGATGGTCCATCGAATTTTCCACTGAACGGATCTTTGGACGCAAAACCTTTGTATTGGCGAGAAATTAACTGAAAAAGGACCTTCGATCCTAATTTCGTTGACAAAGAAATTAGCTTACGGACATAGAAACAAGTATAGTATATAGGTAATATTGAAATTGCTTAGTTCGCTTATGTATTAACGTATTAGATAAATCATGAATATTTGACAAACTTTATAACTTTATGTACAGTTTGACGTAATCCATAACGATACGATAGCTCCCGAGACAATTTCTAACTTAAATTAAAAAAAAGTCGCAAATACAAAAAATAAAACTTACTCCCGCGATCCGTACATTATTACGCGTTCTGTCGGAGGTCGCGGGATGACAAATGATGCGTAGGAGTCGATCGCTAGTGAGCCTCGCCTGTTTCATTAGCGCCAACATTAATTACTAGCAAATCCTTAATGAGAAATCCGTTTCGTTTTGTTTTCATTACTCAATTAGAATTATTGATCGATACAATTTTGCACCTGACAGTGAAGTTATGATACGTCGGAAACTATTAGATCATATAAGAGTTATTGATGGATGTCTTAGAGTAATTACAAGCGTAAACTAGAAAAATAATGACTCGAAAGAGATCAAAGTTCCTTGTAGCGTACACGTTGAAATTCTGCCAGCGCACAGAGCAGCACAAGTGATTCCGACATTTTTATTAGTTTATTATTCATGCTGTTTCCATAAAACGAACGGGTTATCTGAGTCCTCATCGCGGCCCAACTTCATCAAAACTCTATCTTTTGCGATCGCGAGACAGATCTCGAAGTTGGTCTGTGGTCCAAGGGCAGAGATGACGCGTTAGATTTTACTGTTCATTTTCTCTGTTAGGAACATTGACGCGTCTCTAAATATGATATTAATAAATCTAGGGTAGTTAAAAAAACTACTGTAATATGTAGAATTGGTTATAAGATCGACCGACACCCATAAATCCTATACGTTTAGCTCAAAATATGTAATTTGATCTGTATTAGGAATGTCCATTTTTAAAAATTCATAAATATTAATGCCTATCAAAAAGTACTTTAGTATGGAAATAAAATCTGATTGTGCCAAATTCTATATAAGATTGCTAAACTATACTGGTGGTGCACTTTGATACAAATATTAGTAAAGACCTATCAACATTAAGGGTAGTCCTTGAAATTTAATATCGCCATTTTTAACTATTCAAGATAATTGTTTTATATTATATCCAATTATAATAAAATTATAAGTATTTATTCTATTGAGGCTCGAGTAACAAGCTAGGATAGATATATGTTGGAAGGAGTTGTATAAAATGCGAGATATATATTTTTAAAATTGGATTTGCACATAATGTTACAAATACTTGTGAAGCAAAATTATCTCATCTCCTGTGACTTACCCCAAACACCGCATGCCGCCCCTCTGCCTCGTCGGAAGGCAGGGCCTCCAGCGTCTATCAACACGTGCACCGACTCAATCATTCGTCAATCGAACTCCAGCGGGATAAAGACAGAAATACTGCGATGCCACATGTCCGAAAGAGACACCGCGCGGTTTTCCGTTTGAACGATCAGACGATTATCGACGAAGAAATGCCAAAACGAAAGGTGGTAACTGCGGACGAATCGAAAGATCCCTCGGACGTATTCTGATATTGTTTTCAGTTATGACAGATGTTGGCGTCGTTGGAGTGAAAGGGACGTAAGATTGGATTTTTAGAGGCGTATAAACCCAGATAAAGGACATATCCGTATAGTCAAGGTTCTCTGTTTTCCTTTTGCTGATAGGTTCACTAAGATCGGTGATAAAAGTTATAACCGAAATTCTCGTTTTGTCCTTGATTCGTTGTGAGATGAGTCTAAATAACGAAATCACTTCAGTATTTGGAATTTATTCCGTAATTTTCTAAATAATATTTTTTGTTTTCAGTTATGTATCAAAAGCGACTAAAGAAAGAGCGGAAACAACGTCAGCAAATTCAAGAACAACTGGACATCGAGCTGAAGAGGAAACAAAAGATAGAAGATGCACTTAAGCAGTCCGGAGCGCCTGCAGAAATCCTTAGAATCGTTACTGGTAAGGATACTTAACTATTGGGCAATTCGAAAAAAAATATCCAACATTCCAAAATTTAAAGTACAAGCTGTTTTAGGATATGGTCAACGCATACGGACATATTTTCCAAAGAAGTAACAAATAATAAGTGTAAAGTGTAGCAAGTAAGTGAAACCTCTCATGGTGATATTAAAATATAAGGTACTAAAATTTAGAACAATCTAAGATAGTTCTGGATTTAAAAATCATTTAAACATGCACACGTCAGCATGCATGCTTAGCAAGGTAGTTCCTTAATTTACAATTATCCATACATCTTCTGCTCACCAAGATCATACTGTCACTATCAGGACAATCAACAAGTTCCATAAAGTACTCTCTGTATGCCCCTGACATGTTAACTTGCCGTCTGTCAAACTATCTTGATATTAGCTACATCTTCACTCACACACTCCACGTAACCACCTGTACGGAGCTTGTGAATCGGAACTTTACAGTGAAGTAATAAGATTCGTTCCTTACAGCTGATGAGGGTGATACGTTACTTTGAAAGTCGTTAAGTTGATATGGAGTGCGTGACGTAAGAAGGGTGGGTAAATGCTGGCGAAGGCTTGTACTAATCTCCATGTCAGGAAATCGTTTCGCAGACCATTTGAAACGAGGGTTCGATACTAACACGCATTCGATTTCTTGCATAATCTGTGCTTACGTTTAAGTTTATTACCTGTTTGATTGGCAGTACTATTCATAGCTGCGCTACTTTTCTAATTTAAGATCTTGTTTTAGGCAGTAATATAATTTAAATCAGGATAAATTTGTAGATTAATTTACAGGGGCTATAATTGGACGAACCAAGTATGTCGTTAGCTTAACTAAGATAAAATTTTCGAGATATACTGAATCATTACAAGAGCTGATACGTGTTTAATACTGAACTGAACATTGTCTGTGCGACATTGAGCTTGAATGAGAACTCCTTCCACAGAGAACATATCACCACCGGCGCAAGAGACGCCTCGATCTGAGCGCGAGAACGGCGCAGAAAGCAAGCCCCCAAGCGCGGAGCCTCCCCCGGTCTCGCCACCCTTCCAGAGAGAACCACCACGTACGCCTGACAAGCCGCAGTGGAACTACCCTCCACCACCTGTCGATATCATGAGCGGAGGAGCTGCTTTTTGGCAAAACTATTCTGGTAAGATAACTAATAAGATCTAACTCAACGCATAAAGGCCTATTTGTTAGCGCGTTCGATCTGGAACGCTTCGCGAGAATGGTACAAGCCGCAGTGGAACTACCACCCATCACCTGTCGGCATCATGAGCGGAAGAACAGTTTTCTGGCAAAACTATTCTGATAAGATATCCAAAAACTAGAAGAATATAGACTAGCGGTCTTACTACAAAAAGACACTGCTTCAAACCTTGCTTATGAAAATGTTATGTAATATTTTTCTTAAATTCTTATTGAACACATGTCTTACTTTTTGTGGTAATACGGTTAATGTTTAGCTTATGCATGGACGCAAAGCAACTTTTGTCATAACCTTTGTTACCTCCCGTTTCACTATGCTTTGGAAGGCAAGCAAAGCTGGTTGGTCTCTAGCTCGGCTGCATCTACCAGTAATGGATCAGCTTTTTTTCCATAGGGAAGACTTACGCCCTAGCACTGGGAAACCTTAATAAGCTGATTATGATGCTATATAATTTATTTCTCTAACTCTTTTTGAAAACCTGCTGGACAATTCATTATATGTATATCTTTTTCTTAATAAGTACAAGAAAGAATGAAAAAAATAAAAATCTTTTTACTAACCCTCATTCACACAATCTTTGTATAAAAATGAGAAAGCAACAAAGGAAATTACAAAATACTATATTACAATACACTGGGCTGGCAACCGGTCTTGTTTTATGCAATTAAGTGTTTAGTTCTTATCAACGTCAAAGGTATTTTTGAAGTTATTATTATGTTTAAATTAGTGATATTACACTAACATCTTTGTGTGCCTTATACAGTTGCATTGCATGTTCAATGCCTTACCAACCGTGCAATATGTATATTTTATGTCCTACGCACATATGTTTGGAAACGTGTGTGTACTAGCCTTAACAAAAATGCCTTGCACTGGATCTCCTATTAAATTAAATTTTACTTGATCGGATTTATTTAGTCCATTTTAACTCACTTCAAAGGAACGACGATTAATCTATAAGTATTTTTGAAGTTATACTTCTTTAGGCGCGTTATGAAAAAATGATGAGAGTGAAATTTTAAGATGCGCGCGCATCACTGACCGCATCACCGACCAATCGTATGACAATTGATCGGCTTATCGATAGTATCGATACTATCGATAGCACAGAACAAGCCAATACTATCGGATGAGTGAAATATTATCGATACTATCGATAGTATTGTAGGTCGGTAATAACAAACTATCGATAGTATCGATACTGTCGATTTTATTTGCAACTATACTATCGATAGTTTAACAATTTGCAATAGTATTGTTTACAATTTTCAGGTATTATAGTCAATCACAATCAACTATTAGAATTAGCACAGCTCGATAGAAATGTTTATAAAAATATATATATCGGCCTCTAATAGTCCTCAACTACAATACTGTTAAAACATACCTAATACTATTGTAAATTGGTAGACTATCGATAGTCTAAAACAATCGCTAGTATCGATACTATCGATAGTATTGTTGCAAATAAAATCAACGGTATCGATACTATCAATAGTTTGTTATTAATGAACTACAATAGTATCGATACTATTGCACTCATTTGATAGTATTGCCTTGTTCTTTGCTATCGATAGTTTCGATTGTATCGATTCTATCGATAGGGTACATGATTTTCGATGTAAACTGTCGATAGTTTTCATATCGATAGTTCGGCAACACTACACAAAATTTTAACAGCATGAAGTTGGTCTGCTTCAACTTCAGAACTTCATGCTGTTACTTTTGTGTTTACCGCACATTAAGAAAATCTACCAACAAAATAGAAATAGAATCTCTATTTAGTGGGTGCTAACGACTACATTGTGAAGGCCTATCAAAAGTATTTATTAATCTGGATCAACGGAACCAAAGCGCGATTCAGGAGACTACAGCGCCATCTCTTGACCATTGGTGTAGTAGAACCAAAAACCACATCTTTATTTTTTTGTAATAAAGTAACAGTTATAGGTATTCATATTTATAATATCAAAAGTATTTATTAATCTGGAACAACGGCACCAAAGCGCGATTCAGGAGACTACAGCGCCATCTCTTGACCATTGGTGTAGTAGAACCAAAAACCACATCTTTATTTTTTGTAATAAAGTAACAGTTATAGGTATTCATATTTATAATATTTATCCACATGTTTCATACAAGTGCAAATCACATATGTTGTAATAAATTATATTCAGTAGCGATTTTTATTGAATATTTTGATTATTTATTTATTTTTTCAAATTAAAACTGAACTTTATTGACTGTGTCCTTTTCCAGACTTTTTATTAATTTATTGTAATTAATAATTTGCATGCAATTAAAAACTAATTTTAAACAATGCCAAAGAAGGATAACTTCTCACGCGCCTACATAAGTACACGCACCCATTTTTTTTTTATAAAAGTAAGTTAATATTATATATTTTTAACTGAATACCAAAATAAAATTATCCGGTCAACCAGTTGCTATTACATCAACATGTAATAAATAACTTATATTGGAGTTTCGGACCACAACATCACCCGGATATGTTTGGTTTACAACAAAGGATCCTAAGGATTCTCAGTGGAAAAATGTTGACATATGAAATTTATACTCGTCATATCCCATACCGAATGCTTATTGGGAATTCGAAGCATTTCAAAATACGAAATGAGCAATATTGCGTTTTCCGTTTGCATCGTACTCTGTTGGGGTTGGTCCCATTGAAAAAATCGGAGAAGTCCGAGTCGGACTCGCCCACCGAGGGATTCAATTCATTGATGTACCTACAATATATTTTAATTACTTATATTGTTGTATTTTATAAGTGGAATTTGAATCTAGGGCTGTAGCTAGACATCACAACAAACAGCGAAAATAAAACATTTGTTTGTTTTCGTCACATTTTACAAAGTAAATTTTGACTATTATTATAATTTTTGTTTTTTAAGCATGTAACTGCTTGATGTTTAAAGAAAATATAACTAGAAAAAGTACCACGCGGACCAGGCAGCAAGCGAGCAGGGACTCGAACCCGCACCCTTCGCTATTCGGGTGAATGCACTGACCAATTATGCTACCGCAGCCTTGAAGGCCGCGTCGAAATTCCTCTAGCCATTCTTAAGCTGCAAGGAAGCGCTATCTCTTTGCATTGTAGGTAACTCACAATATCAAATAAATACTTTTACAAGAATTAAACATTTGAAAGAAGAAATAGCAATTACAGTTATAATTTTTAGTTTTTAAGCATGTAACTGCTTGATGTTTAAATCTAAAGAAAATATAACTAGAAAAAGTTTCACGCGGACCAGGCAGCAGACGGGACTCGAGCCCGCACCCTTCGCTATCCGGGCGAATGCACTGACCAATTTTGCTACCGCGGCCCTAATGGCCGCGTCGAAATTCCTCTAGCCATTCTTCAGCTGCAAGGCAGCGCCATCTCTTCGCATTGTAGGTAACCCACAATATTATTATTATTTTAAGCATTTCAATGCTAGATATTTTATATTTAAAACTTTTGGATTAAACAAATTTAATGAAAATTTTACTAGAAAAAAATCCACGCTGACCAGACAGCAGACGTCACTCGCACCCTTCGCTATCCGGGCGAATGCACTGACCATTATATTACCGCGGCCCTGATGACCGTGTTGAATTATCTCTAGCATTTCTTAGGCTGCAAGGCAGCGCCATCTCTTCGCATTGTAGGTAACCATTGGTACGAGTCCCGTCTGCTGCCTGGTCCACGTGGAACTTTTTCTAGTAAACTTTTCTTTAGATTAAAACAACTATTAGTTAAATGCTTAAAATACTGTAATTGTTATTTCTTCTTTCAAAAGTTTAATACTTGTAATATTATTTATTTGTTATTGTGGTTTGCCTACAATGCCAAGAGATGGCGATGGCCTTGCAGCTATCTCTGTTGTGTAATTTTTGAGAACAAAAGGCCAAAACTTTGTATACGCAGCCATCTTTGACGTATGTTTTGATCCATGGAAAATTATTATCCGTTAAACTAATGTCGGTTCCGCAGATACACCGATAAACCTGTCTGTATTATCATTCATGAGTACCTTTGACAAAGCGGGTGTTAAAGGTAACTTTTCTACGATACTAATAATTATTAATTATTTTTTCAAGCTTTTGTCGTGGCCAGGGCAGATATTTTATTAAAATGCTCTGGCTACCTACGAGTATATATTGCAGTGTTGTTTGTTCCCGAAACGGTTTATATATAGGTCGTTGCTCATATGTATGTAAAAAAAGTAATAAAAAACTAGGACTTTCCTTTTAGTGTAAGTACAAAATGTTTATAGACATAAAAGGAAAATTGCATGAAAACCTTCAAAGCTGACAAAATGAAACGTTTACTTTATTCAACCGAGAGACGCCCACTGCTGGACATAGGCTATATTGACAAGTTAATATTATAAATATTAACCTTATTACCAAAACAAAGTTGAACATGCGTTCAACACGCGCACGTGTTCTCTCCTTCCTACAATCTGGGGTCCTTTAAGAGAGGCGTGAAGAAGCATTTTTGCAGGCCGGCAAGGTGAGGATGGTTGGTGTGGCAGTTTATAACTGCTGTACCAGCTATCTTCGCGTTTGGAGTTTATCACCACTTAACATCAGGTGGGGTAGAGTAATTTGCCTACCTGGCAATATATATAATATATAAAACACGAGTTCAAAAAAATATCATACAATATTAAGTTTTATTAGCTCAACAAAGATTGTAACCAAGTTTAATTTTTGTAGTAATACCTTAAGATTTTTGATGGTTTTTTCTTGTCACTAGTCATTACTAGTACTAATAGATACTGAGAAGGCTCTATATCTTGATTATAAATTGTTTCTGTTATTTATTTCGCTCACTCATTTTTACAAGCTGAAATTTTATTTGGGAACCAAAAGATATCATTCACAACCAGAACAAGCTATCTTTTCTAACAAAAAGCGATCAAGCAATAAAT